GAAATGTGTGTAAATTTTTAATATCATCTAAATATTAGCAAAATTCGATTCCACAAAATAACTCATTGACTAGCTAGAAATCCAAAATGTTGCTTTCTCTGTCTCCCACACTAAGATTCCTCATGGCATTTAACATTTATCAGTTCAAAGTTGTTGAAGCATTCTAAAATTTAGTATAAGTGCTTGAGAGTGTCTTGAGCAAAAAATAATAGAAATACATTTCAATTGTTGTGATTTGCAAGAATATATCTTTCCTCCCCTGAGGACTTAATGAATGCTGCAACTTTTCCCCTGATTTTTAAAAGTGCATTGACAGCTTTTCTAATGTTCCTTAATCAGCTTTAATTTCTTAGTGATTTCAGTTGGTAAAGTTACTGTATTTGGAAAAGATAAAAAGAATCATTTAGGAGGGTTTTCCCCCTCCTTTCTTTCATTCCATCTTTAAAATATAACGCATGGAGAGTGATAATGTGCTCAGTTCCAATAGCTTTTGATATTCGCCCACCAAATTGTTCACTAGAGAGAAATACCAAAAAGGAAAGCATAAAAGATCTGTTTCTTATCATATTAAAACCTGACTTACTCTGCTTTGTTATGTAGGTGGTAACTACATTCAGCACGTAGAAAAGAAAGCTGAGGCCCCAAATAGTCTTCTCCACAACATTTGCTCTGTGAATGTTGATGGTCCACTTTTGCTATGCAAGTAGCTGAAACAGATGAAACTTTTTGCTTCAAATGAGGAAATGACCTTCAAGTGAGATTGGTTGGCTTGGGTTGAGAAACAGTGAACAGAGGACCTAAAACACTGAATGGTCTCTAGGCTGCCATTCCTTTCTCTACCCAGTTGCTCTGGTCATTCCTGAGCAAGGTGTCCTACAGAGATGAGGAGCAGCAAAATGCCATTCTCCTGCTTGAAGAAGTTTAAGGGAGTCTATCAGTTCTTCTGCAATCTGTTTCATTTAAACGATAACTGAGATGTCATAATACAGAGGATCAATAAGTATTTGGAAAATTTTTCTCAAATAACTACATTTGGTCAAGCTATATCTAATTTCAGATGACCCTTATGCAGAGTTCTGAAAGAAAAAGAAATCACTAGTATCTGCTTCAGGACTGTGAAGCTGCAGCCTCGCATCAAAGATCCTTCTCTGAATGCAGGTAGGTGCTGCCATTAATTACCTTGGTACAACTTGTTGAAGTCTACTGTCCTTCAGGTATGATAGTTCTCACTGGATATGACCCAATGAATTATTGTCATTGTCCTTGTCCTGTGGACTCTTGAGGTTACTAAAAGAGTCAGATAAATAAATAACACACACAATGTCTGACAAAATATTTACAGGGTTTGGACCCTCCCTGATGGCGCAGCGGGTTAGGGCACGGCTCTGTGAAGCAAAGCCAAGTGTGGCCACTTCAGTACGAATTTGATTCCCCCGGAGGTGATCCACATGGTGCAGCAGACCTTTCCTGTCTCCCCAATGCTCCCTTCAGCAGTGTACTTTGTCAATCTGCCTGTTCCGCTGTTTCTGGTGAATCCTCTCACTACCCCTGCACCTCTGGACTGCACCCCATTTCTGTATGCATAAATAAATAAATAAAATCTTTTTAAAAAAAATTACAAGATCTGTATATTCCTGGGAAGAACAGTGTATTAGTTTCCTATGGTTGCTGTAACAATTTGGTGTTTTAACACAAACTTAAATTTCTAGAGGTGTTAGCAGTTCTATATTCCTTCTGGGGGTCCTAGGAGAGGATCTGTTTCCTTGCCATCAGGTACTAGAGAAACTTGCAGTCCTTGGTCTGCGGCTCCTTCCCATCTTCAAAGCCATCAACAGCCACTGGAGTCCTGCTCATATAACCTATTTTTGACATAGACTTCCCTGCCTCCTTGTTTCTCTTGCAAGAATCCTTGTGATTACATTGCTCCCACTTAGATAGTCCAGGATAATCTCTCCAGCACAAGGCTACCTGATCAACAGTCTATATTCCATCTGTAACTTAAATTTCTTCTTTCCAGGTAACATAACATATTCCCAGGTTCTGGGGATAATGCTGTTAATTGTGAGCACCTTTGTGGAATAGGGATGATAATGAGTGAGGGAAGATTTATAAAAGCATTGAATTGTCAGATAAGGTTTGAAGTGCTTATCTACTTGAAGTTAAGTAGAATTTAGGCAAATAAAGGAAGGACTTATCAGAGCTAGGAGTGGGCTGCTCTTTTGACTGTTGAAAGAGCATGGGGGAGAGAGAGGACATGGCCCAGGGAAAGATGTAAGGGAAAACTGAATTTGCTTGAAACAAAGGTGTGAGCATAAGAAGATATTTAGCAAGAGCAAAGGCCAATGATTAAGGAGTCATGCCAGATTCAGTAGAAGATCTAAGAGCTTAGGCGTATGCTGCTGGAATCCAGACAACTGGTATTAGGGGAAAGCAGGAAGGTGCAGAGATGAGCGAGGAGTAATTGACACATTTGAGCCATGTGATAACTTGTCTGTGGAAGGAGCCACCGCTGCCCTAGGTTCAGAGGCAAAATCGGGAAGTTGGTTAACAAAGCACAAAATAAAAATTTAGTTGTAAAGACTTGTCTAGAGGACACACAGAATCCACAGCAACTCTGCGTGGAAGAAACCACAGGATTCTGACAGGCACCCTGCTTTCAGAAAGAATTAATTATAAATCGATGAAAGAGAAGTGCAGAATATCACAAACCCTAAATATAACTGTGGTCAGAAAAAACTTTAAAAGAAGGATTTAGACTGAGACCTGAACCATGAACAAGCTCACTAGGTGAGGCGAGGGACTTCCAGGCAGACCAAAGGATCTATGGTGAGAAGAAACCTCAGTGTTCCAGAAATCAAAAGCCTAGTACTTTGAGTACAGGGGGAAAGAGAGTCTTATAAGGCTCAGGGAGGCAATGGGGCACAATCACAGCCTTGTGGAGTTTACCATTTACTGAAAGTGTTGCCCTGAGAGCAATGAACTGCTACTCATAGTTAAAGCAGAAGGATGACCTGATCAAATTATCCCCTCATACAGATCTGGCTGCAGTGGGAGGATAAATGGAAGGCAGCAAAAATATAAGGTAGCTTGGTGGCTGCTTGCTTAGTAATTCTGTATATAACAAAACAGAAACAATTGCTGCTGGAAGCAAAAATTAAATAAGGTGCATTCTGCTTTCAGGAGAAGTGGTATAGTTCATCCCTGGGAATAAGGTCCTTCTTTTTTTTTTTTTTTTTTTTTTATGAGAAGACCATTTCATGGTGTACGCTGTCTCCCATAATGAAATAAAGTTCAGTCCCTGGCCTAGATGGTCTGAGCTTGATAGATGGTATAAAATTAAAAAACAAAAATGTGGGCCCTCCCTGGTGGTGCAGCAGGTTGCAGCACAGCACTAAGAAGCTAAAACCAATTCAGCATGAGTTCGATCCCCGCCTGCCCTGGAGGAGATCCACATGGCGTGGCAGACTTCTCCTGGCCTGCCTGCTGCTCCCCTCAGCAGTGTACTTCTTCAATCTGCCTATTCTATTCCCCACTCTGTCTCGGGTGAAGCCTCTCACCCACCCCCAACTGTGGCCTGTACCCCAGTTCTGTATGCATAAGTAAATAAATCTTTAAAAAAAATAGAAAAGAATATTTTAAATTAAAAAAAATGCACTGATAATCAACATAATAAAGTGAAAACATGGCTTTGTTGCAAGAAACCTAAGAGAGAGGCTTGGGAGTGGGGACCAAGGGTTGGTATTAGAAATGAAAGAAAGCGGACTCCACGTAAAAAGCTGGAAGTTGGTGCTGCCAATGGGTGCTCATCTGTGAAAAAATTTCCATGAAGGAGGGTGGCTGGCAAGTCACTGGCAATGCTTATATCTGTACCTATTTTAAAGTGGAAGTGTTTTTTGGATCTTTAATTACTTTCTGTAAACCCTCAGATCTTGTAAAATGTTGCCCCCCACATGAGCCTCAGATTGTGGTGCTTTGCTTGGATAGAGAACAGGGGTCACTGCTGTTGGCTAGAGAACAGTGGGCCAGCACAGGCAGGGAGCCCACAATTGAATGAATGGCCACAGTCAGGAATAGGCAATAACAGGTAGAAGTCACAAGCACACACTCAAATAGAATAGCACGCACACACCAGGAACACCCCAGAGAGATTCAGGAGGATTCTAGGCTGGCCGCAGGAAAGCGCAGACATTTGGTTTAGATATTCATGTTAAGGCTGACATAGGAAAGTTGCAACTGTGAAACTAGTAAGCATCTGGGTTGTTATTGTTTAATTTGTGTTTCAGGCAAACATGAAACTGCTTGAGAGCTATTACCACTTAATATTCACTCTGAATCGAGAGTCTTGACAATATTTTTTAGAAATTTCCCTTCGGCATTAATTTTGCAGCTATTACTAATAGCTTACTGAATAAGGAAGTAAAATTAAAGTGCTACATATTATATACAAATGAAATCTAATATTGTCTTTATCAGAAATACTCAACTGACAGAATATAGCACTATGCTGCTGAAAGGCATGTTGTGACATCATTCCTGCTGCTTTTCTAGAAAATTCTGGCTAAAATGACCCCCAAAAGTATGAATTTTAAGAGCTACAGCTGTCACATAAGCAGCACCCCTTGGTGTTCTTGGTAAGTATAATCAAGACAGAAACCGTATGTCATGAGGACTTCATTATACCGAACACAGGAAAAATTGCAACAAAACATTTCTATTCCAGGGACTTGCCTGGGAATTTTTTCAAAATTTCTAGTTCTCTTGAATTTACAGAAAGATCATTTCTGCTTGTGCAGTTTCCTTAGTGGTAATGAGGCTAATAAGAGACTAACTGTTCCCTAAGAAACTTCACTAGCATCTGCAATAAAATACAAATATGAAAAGAAAAGAAATTTCAAAGTAGTTTCTGTGGAACATTTTGATAAACCTGCATTGTCATAGTTATCCAGATAAATCAGCAAAAACTAAATATTTTTACATTTTTCTAGATAACTGTGAAAAAGACAGACTCTCCTTTTCTTTCTCCATATGATTTGCTATGAAGTCCATTCTCATGAGAAACATCAACCGGTAACTTCACTATGTTTCTGTTTGCCTCTGATTATTTAGAAATTTTTATAGTCAAGTTCAAAGACAAAGGAATAGGAGTGTTCCTTTTCTGTGAGTACTGTCTTTCATTCTCCTTTAGTTATTTTTATTTTCAAAATGCTCACTTCACTAATGACTGAGATCACCATAAAAAAGCAGGTTTCCATGACATCAGTTCTGAAAAAGGCACCAATAAATTTTTTTTGCAAGGTAATATTTTTACTTTTGCTATTCACTAATTCAACCTTATTCAAACCAGAAACCCATGGGTCAAGACAGTCAGCAATTAGCCTGCATAAGCCAGGTGGGAATGGCTAGGTGTTCTCTGTGCCCACTCAGGGAGAAAGATAAGACATGCTACATACTCAATGTTGTTGTTTTATATATATAAATTTGTATTTTGCTTGTTATTAGTAAGAATTTATTCAGTTATATGATTTATGAATTACAAGCTCATTTATGTTTTTTTTTAATTAATAGCAACTCAAAATAAATATTAACAAAGGGATTCTCTTTTCCAAGAAAATCATTGTTTATCATGTAGTGGGGAGTTTTCTTAGTCCTCTTATTTTCTCGCAATAGTCAAAGGATGATTAGAATTATCCTCTTTGAGTTTCCTTTACACTTGTTGGTTATGGAATTCTTGTGAAAGAATTGAAAAAATAAAATAGGATCAAAATTAAAATCAAGTTATTTCATTTAATCATTTGGTTATAATAACTAACAGGTATTTCGCACTACTAAGGTGATTCAACAACATGCTAAGCACTGTCAACTCATTACCTCCATTCTCATGTGATCTCAAAGCACTTAAGTAGCACTCTATAGATCAGTGATACTCAAACTTGAATATGCACATGGAGTACTTGCTAAAACACTAGCTGCACTCTGAGTTTCTGACTCGGTAGGTTATGGCAAGGCGTGAGAACTTGCATTTTGAAGAGGTTTCCAAAGAACACTGGAACTCCTGGTATATTGACCACACTTCAGAAACCACTGTTTCAGAAAATTATGATCACAGGTCACATCCAGTCAACTTGATCTTTCTTGTCTGATCCTCAAGTTTAAATTGCTTTTAGTTTTAAATATTAAATGATGAATCTATTGGGACACCTAAAAATCATAGGAAAGTAATCTCAGTATCCATAAAATCTGATCACCACACTGCAGGCTCAGTGACCTCGACATTGTCATTGGCTGCTTTCATACTACAGCAGTGGAATTGACTAGTTGTGCAAGAACCAATATGATGCATAAAGCTTAAAATATTAACTAACCCTTCACACACACACAAAAAAAATGCCAAATCCTTTCATAGATAGAAGCAGAACTTTCAGTTAGTAAGTGGTAGCATTAGGATTCCTATCCAGATCAAACTTGAGAGTTCATATATTCAATCATATTTTTTAAATGTTTAAATCTTTTGTTTTAAGATTGGTTATTTATACATACAGAACTGGGCCAGAGGTGCAGGGGTGGTGAGAAGTTTCACTAGGAACAGAGTGGGGAGCAGAATAGGCAAATTGACAAAGTAACTGCTGAGGGGAGCAGCAGGCAGACAGAAGAGGTCTACACCATATGGGTCACCTCCCTGCTCGGGCTTCAAACTCATGCGCAGTGGTTGCACCTAACCTCATACTGGTGCGAATTAACCCATTGCGCCACCAGGGAGGACCCTAAATCTTCTGTTTTTAAAGTAACTTGTATGAGCTCTTGTCTGGCTCTTTTTCATTAATTGTTCAGCAATGCTTACTCTCTTCTTTTTCATGCTCACCAAATTCCATCTTCCTTCCCCAAGATACTCCCATCCTTGTTCCTTCATTAGTATTACATCTCTCTTTATAAACCAGAGGATTTGCAGAGAAGCTATTTAATTAACTGAAGTTCTATTACTTAGAGAATTCATTTTCTGCACACTTTAGATGAATGAAAGAGCACAAATTTCATAACAGATCTCTTAGAGGATTTCCATATTTCAGAGTAATAACTTGTAATGGGAAAAGCAGAAGGCTTCTGAAGTTCAGCCTAGATTATGTAGGAACAAAAAAATGAAGTAATAGTGATGACCTCATAGATTCAAGTAACAAGGGTTGTCTGATGCGGCTAAGTTCTCAGAGACAGAGCAAGGCGGCGTAATTCACAAAGATATCATGATCCACTGTAGCTAGAGAAGTGACAAGAATCAAAGCTTCTATCTACCACCAGTCCCATTCACCTTGAGGCTTTTTTCAATTCATCATTTTAGATTTCTTTATTTTATTTCCCTTGGGGGAGGGGACTCAAAGCATTCTTTCACATGACTTGAGAAAATCTTAAAGTAGACATGCAGGAAATAGTCAAAGGTTTCAGTAAAGAAAAATGTGTGTACGCATAAAGCATGTCGCTTTTTAAGAACATTATCAAATTTCTCCACTTTTTATCAAGATTATTTAACTAGCTCTGCTTAATTTCAACATCATAAATAAATCATCTTACCCGTAAGTAATTCAAATGAGATGAATTTACACAAGATAACCTATAAGTAAACAGATGCTTGGGCCTATTTATATTTCTAATAAGTAGTAAAGACTTAATGAAGTGGGAAATTTCTCTTTGCCAAGTAATTCATTGAAGGTCTTAATCAATTTCAAATAAAAACCTCACAGTTTAAGTCTAATTATATCACTTTCAGTTTCAAGCATAGTAATTATTAGCTCTTTTCTTAATTAATATTTTCACGATCACTACACTAATTATCTACAGATTTTTAAGGTGGTTTTTAAGAATATAAGTCCAAAAGAGACGATGTATTCCCACTGGTATTTAGGCTAGTTGCCAACTTGTCTCCCTTCTGACAATATTAGCTTTGAACTAGAAATGGAGAAAAGAACAGCTGAAATTTTGAAAATAAAATTCATTCTCCACTAATATTTGAAATAATAGCTACAAAAAGAAGAAATGGGAATTTTTTTTTTTATTCAAGATACCATATATGGCTAGTGTTCTATAGTTAATATTCTACTTCTTAAAATAAAAATCACCCAAAATCCTAATTTTTCACAAACAGGAATCATACTAGTATTTAAAAAAAAAAAAAAAAAAA